GTGTCAGCGGAGATTACGAATAAGCACGAGTGTCACGACCCTTCCCCGTTAGTACAACTCCATCCAGTCGGACAGCACACAGACGATTATTGACTGATATACAGTCGAAAAGTGAGCTTCCTGCTTCACAACCTAATGCGACACCTACACCAGGGAGTCCATGAGAACTAGTCAGCGAATCTCCGGACACTCGCAAAAAGATCTTTCAGATTCACCGAATTGTCCAGATGCGAACAAGTATACTCGAAACCTGTATAAGTGTCTCTGAAACGCAGTATCCATCCATCGCTCAAAATTCCAGTTTTGGCAAGAGATGCCTGTTGTCCGATGTGTCGTAGGGTCCAGACATTGAAAACCTCCGTGAAATCGATACCAGGGCTTTACAAAACTACGGAATGGTGTTTCACTGGTGTGGACTGTTAGTAGTGTTCACAGAATGAGAAGTTGAGGTTTTAAGTAATTTAATGTTGACGTGGGAAAGTGGCAGCAAAGGAGACAGATGAGGTAGTTTAAGAATAGACAGATTCTCTTTACTGCTGGGAGTGTGTGGTTAGTTGCTACTCCCTCGCTGCTCACACTGTGGAAGCTGTTCCCGCAGAGGAGAATTTTTGTGTGACCAAAGAGAGTATGGGAGATCGGTTTAAAGCGTGTCATATATAGCCCTTTCCAGAATTCTCATTGTAACGCTGGCGCTGGAATAGCCCCATGCCAAGGATGATAACGTAATCCCTGATGTTAACACTTTTTTCCCACAGGGACGAAACCACTCGCATGTTACTGCTAGTCATCTACCGTTAACACCCTACTGCCGTCACACTCTGTCCAGCCGGCAGGTACGACTTTGCCCACACTTTCCTTATCACAGGGTAGCAGTAAACACTGTAACAGTAACTGCACTCCGTCATCCAACAGACTCTTCTGTTATGATAGCGATTCAAGGAACGAGCGCCTCAGCTTCCAGGGTCAATGTGATATACAAGCTTGACCATCACGTCAAGGCAGTATCTATCGATCGCGACGACCATCCAAGCTTATTTCCATCATCCTTAATAGTGATGCAAATATAATCAGTACGCGGATGAAAAATAAGAATGAGTAAATGCAAATACTTCTAGGTTGAATATCAAAGTCTTATCAAGAGAAGCATTAGTTTGCAAAATTTTGACCGGATTTTTCAATTCAACATCATGCTGACTACCGTTTAAATTTCCTATTTCTAAGGAATTTATGGCCTCATCTCGACAGGCGTATACCAGTAAACTGTTGATGAATCCACATATTCACGTCGTTTATTGTGAATACACTACTAAATAATATAGGTAAGAACAATATATAAGACACCTTAGAGCTGGGAACACGATATCTTGGAATCTTAAGAAGCCTAACTCCACAATGAGTTGAAATCCGAATTATAATTAACTAACGTATTGCGTTACATTAGCGTTGAATGCAGTGAGATGCCCACCGGCCAGGTTAAGAAGTTGAAAAAACTGTGCCCATTTGTTAAGATGATTATAAAGCCACCGAAGTTTCCGGTCAAGACAGTTACATAATTACCTACTAACGCTTCATCATTTGAAAAACAAGAACCGTCGTAGGAGTGACAACGTACTGTAGGCAAGTATATACCAAGTACGTATTCGCCATCGAACACATTGAAACCAGTGGCTTAGCAGTTCGACTTTCAACCACTAGGTTACATATTTAAACCTGTTTCAATTGTTGGAGTCTGGTCTTGATCTAGTAGTTATTATAAGACTCTCTACGGTTTCGGATAAATAAAGAGACCTGGTGATTAAAATCCGTCTGACGAGAATATCCATAGCCCAGTTAATTTACTCAAGTTCAATGACTGATTTAATAATACTATTCTGAAATACAACAGAAGTGGCACATTAGGACTTACTTCTTCCACCCTTTACTCCCCACCGTAGCCTCGTGTCTGGTTTACAAGACCAACATCAATGAATTATCCGGACTAAATGAACAGCTAAGTGGTCAAAATTTATTCAACTTTTCGCCCCTCTGGGCATTTTTTCAGACAACCAGATTTAAAAGGTTTAAACAATGGTCGACTACTACACATTGACAGTTCCTCGTCGGCTACTTTCGCCTACCTAGTCCTCTTACTTCTCATGGTCAGGTAATATTACAATCTTTCGGGAAAAAACCATGAGTATTCAGCATGCAGACAGTTTGATAAATTATCTAACCGAAATGCCCAATCCCTAAGGACACTAATCTGAATCAATTAGAATGCATCTTTTCACATTAATTACTACGCACCAGACTTTTGAGATCCAATGACAATCGAAATCGTGGGTTGCAAGTATCTGAACTGTCTCGGCAACCGATTTTGCCAAACACTGCACCATGAATCATATTAAACGAGGGTGAACACATCCGCTCATCTTTGATAACTGGTGTGCTTTCGTACATAAATACTCTTGAAGTCTTTATCGTTCAACTCAGTCATAATGGATTCTCCGATCTACCACTGTCACGTTTCCCAACAATACGTATGTGCTCCGAAGTGACCACCTGCTTAAACCTCGCTGTTAATTGCAGTGAAGGAACACGCTCAAGATTAAGCTGACGACATTTCTCACCAGTTTTATTAGGTGACAATGACTACTAGCAGATGGTTGCATAGCAGAGCTACAAATGACCATCATGAGATGATCAAAATGTTCCTTTCAGTGCACTGTTCTATCTGATTATTTTCATCAGCATGCACATCAATCAAAGCATGTACCATATGTTTTCATCTTTCAGGTGGATTTCCGATGGCTTTTGCTGCAACTCCTTATTCAACTGTATCCACACACCCAGTCAGTTCGCTCACTTCAGATCAATTCTGTGGAAACATGGCATATCCAGTAGGTATCAAGAGCTCATTTGAGAATTTCGACGAGGACCAATAGTTATAACGTTCCAGTCAAACAGTTAACTCCACCAGTATAACACTGGTAAAGTTTAACAGCAAAGGCGACAGTGCATATCTACGGCTATAACTGGTCTCCACCATATGAAATGAAACGCTCAATAAGCATGAGCGCATTTACCTGCCCACGCAGATTGCATGACAGGGATAGTGAACAAAAAATTTGACCAATGTAGTCAATTATCATCAAAAGTATATGCCAAATGGTGAGCACTCTTAATTACGCATGAGCTTCACGATCTGAATATCTCATCACTATTTTCCCTTTCAGGTATTACACATCCTCGATCTCCATGGGTTTGTTTCTAAGCTCCGGTAAGACTCGAAATGACGAGTTTGTGTAACGTCAGCTCATTACTTTATGTTCAGTACACGACAATTTCTTTCCCCTTTAGTAAAACTCAAGCCAGTGATAGTTAAGCTTAGCCTCATAATCACATTTCTGTCATTTCACGTCACTTGAGCTACCAATTCTTGCTTAGAAACTTCTGAAAATAGATGAAGTCCTGCAGCTTTCCTTTGTTCGATGTTTCCAACAACCCACTCAACTTCGATCACAGTTATACAGCAAACATTAACATCCTATTCAGGTCGAGGTGGCACACTGAATGACCGGAGAGCAGTCGTCATTCCAGTTACTGTTAAATGTCTCAACTGCCTATTCTTATCGACTCTCACTCACCATCACTTTCTCCAAACGAGCTTAGGAAACTACGAATAAATCACGCCAGTGCCTACTCGCCCCTAGCAGTTACATTAAAACTAAAGCCGTTGACAATGCACAGAGCCAGTCAGAGTAAGTTCGGTACCTGACGCTGTAGACTATATCGATTTATTAGAGGATTTTACTTGCAGAATATTATCTTCATCTTTTTGCAGCAGACTCCAAACGGACGTCATGTTCTGATAATTTCATTCTCCAATAAAGAACTTATTGCTTCTCCCTTTCAATTACTTCATCATTCCATGATAAACATTTGTTTTGAACTCTCTTTTAATTCTAGTTGTAATGCTTGCATCTTTCAATTTCGAAGTATCTTAGCCTAAACCAATTTAACTGCGTCTCCTTACGTACTCCGTGTCCCTTCAGTGATATACATCCAAGAGACTACATCCCCCCTCCAGTATATTTTAATGCTTACTTAGTGTTCGTATAGTACGTTTATTTCAATCATGAAGACCAAAAGGCTGTTTACTCCCAGCAGGAAATGGTTATGTCACTAACACCTTAGGTTCCTAACAGTAACTTCAATGTATATGAATGAACTGTGGCCCAAGTTTCTTAAACCGATCAGAAATACACATTAGTGACAAAGAGCTATTCAACACTAAAAATACTGACTACATACGAGTTTAGATCAAATGAACCACCTAACGTGGAGATGCGGTCATTAAAGCAAATATGATTTTTGTTAACAAACAGCAATACGGTCAACGCTCGGTTGAGGAATGACTTGATATACAAAAATAATCAGTTACTAGGATCCGTAACATGCAACATGACATTTATTTTGTAAGCTGAAATAAGTTGAGCAAGTTGAACAAATCACCAAGGACCGAATTAAGACTAAGTTTATAATTTAGAACAATCAGTTAGTCGGAAACTATTCATTGTGCAACCACAATGGAATACAGAAAAATTTGGGAAATTTTACTGGTGTAAACTGAGATACTACTTTTGCAAACTCCCAGTGGATGTTTTTCTTTGTGACGAAACAAGAACTGGAAAATTTTTAAATATGGCGCTACCACCTAGGTTACAGTATAACGACAACCACCTTAAAGAACGTAAGAGAGGTCACCGTAAGTCTGAAACTCCACGCAGATTGTAAAACTGAACCGACAGGTTGTATTCTGGTTCCCATTACTGAATACTATTAAAATCAGAACAAAAGCAGAAAAGAAGTATCGAGATGCAGAGAACAACAGAAGCTGACTTTATATATCTGTTGGTTAAGGCGGGAATTTCCCAGCTCCAAAAATAGTTTGAAAGGTATTCACATCATTAAAAATAAGGGAAAACGAAAATCACTTTGAGTAAATCCCCAAGACTTACTTTAGATTATGTTGAAGGATATCTCGCAAACGAAGTTGTTCTGATGTACACGAAATCAGCACACCCGACTCTGAAGTGTTACTCATATCAGAAGACGACATTGCGATCTCTAAAAAGTATGTGAATACAAGCTTAGCCTAATATCGATAATTTATTCTGGAGAATAAACATGCTGCGCAACCCGATTTTACAAGCTGTTACTTCAGGCAACCTAAATCCTATGGTCCCATATCACATAACTGCAGCAAAAATATTTTAAAAAAGAATTCAGTGAGCCTCTAACCATAAGGTTGACATACCAATACTCAGAAGAGTTCATGACCTGCTTAAGCAATAAAACTAATTGAGTCCATATTTCAGAGTCTCTCTACACACGGTCAATGACTGGATAAAATGAACAGGATTACCCAAATAAAACATTCCCAAACGAAAACAGACATGATATCCGACAGACATACAATTCCAGTGGTGAACTATGAAACCATTCTATTCAAATTACCAACTAATCTTAGTAGGCATGGAAATCATCCACTACACATTTAATCTCAGCATACGTCACAAAGGATAAAGTTTACAATATAGGTAGTGATCACGGTTACTGTAAAACATGCATCCTGCGATGAACAATTCGTGCAACTTGTGATAAATCACTATCATACGGAATCGATTCAAAACAAGCAAGCACGTTACATTTTAACACCTCCATGGTATTTGTCAACAATAAACATCTTTAAGCCATGTTGGAAATAATAGATAACTGAATACCTGAATCACGGCTTAAAGAGTACAAAAGGCTAATTCAGAAACATCTGCAACACGCAGTCAACTGCACATGATTTTTTTTACACCTTTACATAACATTGACCATAAAATTGATCCCCTAATATCTCGATATGAGTAAAGTGCTCAACCGAGGCAATTAGATTAAAACGAGTACATAGTAATCCATAGACCAAGCAAATTACTAGATAACGCAAGAAACAAAAAACGATAAAGGATTAATGACGTATTTATTTAACAGTATCAATATTACAAACCATCTTCAGAGAGCTGTGCCTACATAACAATTCATTCAGAAGTTGTAGGAACGCGAGGAAAAAACTAGGAAAAAAGCGTGTGCAATTTTGATGGAACCCGAATGAAAAATGCAGAATGAGTAGTCGATTATTTTGTTATACTACCGTCGACCGGAATCTTTTGATGATATGGATACAGGGGTAGGAGTACGTCTTTTGTCCAAACTGTCGATATAATCTTCTATCAAGGCATTGCGTTCATCCTCAAACGCATCCAAGGCAATGAACCGTTTGTCCTTCTACAATGTAGAAATAGTTACTTCAGTTAATCATGTTCCGACCTTCCTAACTTTGAACTATGTAGTTTACTCACTTCAAGTGCCTCCATAATATCTGATATGTGGTTTTCATTTTCTTCAAGAGTTGCTTTAGTCCTGTTGAAACGAAATGATAAATTATGAAACAACTCACCGATTACTTATCAATTTTGTTTCTTTCAGTAGCTCTTTGAAAGCGTCTTTCGCCTGACTTTTCTTCACTTCCACCCACATGCAATATTCGGATTCTTTTTCTAAATAAAATAATAATTAATTTATTGGATACAAAAGGAACATACTCTATCACTCGAAATCTTCTCAAAGCGAGGGTCACCGTTTATAATCTTTTTTGCTTCTTTCCAAGACAAATCAAAAGACATCTGAGAAATTCAGTGACTAATATGAAATGACCTACTCCTTCAGTTTCGTTTAAAAGTCGATAGAACAACTCCCGAGACTTTTTCGAAAGACTGTTGATGTGTTCTTTGAACATCTCTTCTCGTTCTGATCGTTCAAATATCTCACTAACAGCTTCCCATCGAGGATCTTTCCGCAGCATTTTCTTAGCTTCTTTCCATGAAAGACTGGGATCACGTATCATATCTTGAAGCATCGTATGAAAATTGTTCTCTTGCTCATTCCGCAAATGTTGTTCCCTTTCTTTATCTCTTTCTCTCAAGGAAGAAGACAGAGCTTCTTTAACTTCCTTCTCGCGTTCTCTTATAGATGCTTCTTGACGCTCCTTCTTCTCTCTCTCTTTCCGAGAGAAACTATCCTCTCTAACAGCGGGAACCTAAACAAAACAAGCAGGGTAAAGGAGAAAATGTCAAATTTAGGAAAATTTTGGCGTAAACCTTGTGCTATTTTTTTACTGCATGACTTCCAATTTATTAGTCAGGTTTAAACCCCGCTTCATATTTTGAGGTCTAGACAGCTAGATTGTACGGTCAGACTTCACACAATGTATGGCTCGTTTCTAACTGAACTGAACGTGTCGCTAAGTTACACTGCATTTATTTTTTAGTGGTGGCAATACTATGGAGAAGAAACCAAAACTGTTATTCAGTTTATAAACAATGATAACAAAAAGGAAAGAGGACGAGTAACACAGTTGCACAGATGATCTACACTATCTAGGCAAATCGGAAGTCTCACTTCAATATAAGAAAACAGTAGTTGCTATGCACACAAATGAAGCCACCACTTTCGTTTGTAGCCAGTTTTCTTTGCCTACCAGGACCTACAGGAGCGAGTATTTCAACTGCATACTCACATATTATGATAGCTACTACGTTTATTGTAAATACACATGCCGCGATATCATGATAACTCGAAATCATGAAACCAAGCATAACTATAAATAAGAAGACGAAAACTTACCTCATCAAGTTTGCGTATGAATTCTCTAAACCAGTCCTCTCGTTTTGAAGAAGATTCTACAGCTTTATACCGAGGATCAGAGTCCACTTTGCGCTTAACATCAGTCCAGTGGGTGTATCGGTTAATACTCTTTTGTTCTTTCAACATGTTGAAGAAGTCAACTTTGACCTGCACAGAAAATACAACATTCAAGTCAGAGAATCCGACAGTTTAAAGTGGACACTTCGTGTAAGTCTTACTTATTCATGATCCCTTTCATGAAAACCAACCTGTGTGATAATGCTGAAGACAATAACACGAACATTAAAAGGTTCACTCATGGAAGAGAAATGGTACGTAAAGTATGGATAACCACACTATCTCTAGTCTGGCGAATCAATGAGTAGAAAAAAAATCATGAAACATTCCACACAAATGCAATAATTTTAAGTTCAACAGTGAACCAGTTTTGAAGCTAGAAACTTTTATGTTGTATCCCACTTTTCAATCATGACACCAGTAATAAGATGTAATTTTCATACCACGCAAAAAGCGCATTACATTTTGATACATACAATTAAATGCAATAATCCTGTTTTCAGAATATGCTGGTGTGAAAAGAAATGTATGAGATTAAGTCCGATCATATCAGACACACGGTGTGCAAGTGAACTTACATGTTAGAAGAATTTCAACTACCTTTAATACAAATTTTACGGGTTTCAGTTAACATATTTATGGTCATATCCGTTTCTGTAGATACAAGCAGACACATACTTTGGTTAGAAGCCTTATATTATATAGCATTTTGTACTTTATTCAGTCTAACTGAACGGTCGACAATATCGGAGATGACCGTCTATGTCCCAAGTAAACTTCACTGTATCTATATAAAATCAAAATATTTCGACTGATCTTCGCACCCCTTTGAGACGCTTTTGTATGTTTCTCGAAGAAAGCGATAGCTAGCAGTTTGGTCTTAATGAATTAACTAAACCACTTTGCCAAATCGTCACTTTCAACTTTTATGCCGTGAATTTGCGAAATCTCGTTATATTTGCGAGCATGAAGAATTCTGCGATCACCAGACATTTTTTGGAAACAGTAAATACAAACGCCGTGTTAAAGTACAACTTAACAAAAACTACGTCAATAAAATTATAACTAGGTATGTATCTGAGTTAAAATGAATCTTCGTACAGTAATACCTAGGTTTATAAATCATGGGTGGAGTTCCGCTTTTGTATTTGCAAAAGAAGTCGCTTACTAGAGTTGGTAATGATTTCATATTGAAGTTACCAAAATCCGAAGACGAATGTCCAAATCCACTGAAATACTTAACCGGCTGTACCACAAAATCTGAATACTCAGTCACCATCTGGTTAGCAGTATTACTCTTTATACTACATATATAAGCCAAAAGTACTAAATGTTGACCTATTCCTCATTCAACTAACTAATTTTGGTGGCTTTACAACGAGCATGCAGACGAAAATACATACACATACGTACAAGTGCACGCTTAATACAGTAATTCTGACAATGGGTCCGCTAAAAACTAAGACAACAAACCTGAGTGGATTGAAATCAGAAGTGATACTGATTTGTTAGGAACCCATCTCATCAATGTGGCTTTCCGACTCCTTTCGAAAGCGAATTTCATAGATTTAAAGAACCTAATAAGTATAGATCGGGGTTTATTAGTTAAAATGTGTCATATATACAACCCAAATTAAACAATTTATCAATAACACAAGTGATGTAGAGATCCACCTCTTCGAAATGACCACTTATTTCTGTTTACAAACGCACGACTGGACGTCACAGGTTTACGCAATAGTCCATCAACTTGCCTTTAGGCAATGTTGACAAAAGTCAGACGCTAAAAAGACTTATTGGGATCGCACGAAAGGGTGAGCAGGTACGCAATAGTCAACTTTGACTCTACTTAGAAACCCATACCACATTATTCTGCAAAATATATATGAAAAAAGATCCTAATAAATTCAAAACACTCACATCGCTAGTTTACTGAATTGAGAAAAATGTCGGGCTTGCAAGTTGGACATCTGTAGCCCGACACAACTTTCTCCGCTGTTATAATGAAAACCCAAAAAAATTGTTTTGGTTCATGTTACATCACTTACAATTTTAGCTGATGTTAGAAACATTTAAGCGTACGACTGCCAAAATCAACTTTGCAACCATATACCTGATAATTTCAAGTCGATTTACTTCTCTAGTTATCTCCATTCTGTTGAAAGAGCCAATACGAAATTCCAAATGAATCACTACCCAGTTTACAAACACTTTAAGCCCAAATCCTGAAATTTGTCATGACATTAGAGTGATTTATATCCCAGCAACTCCAGGGATCATAAGTATAACAAGAAATGAAAATTACGTCCAATAGTATTGTGAAGGCCAATATTGGTTGCCACTTTACAGCGATACAGTATCCAACTTAAAATTAATCCACCCTGACCATGATCACATCATGAAACAATTCAACAACAGTTGTCACGTTCACAAACGTAAAATATACGTGGAAATAAAAAAAGTTGTGGAGCTCATAGGAATAACCTTTCACAGAAAGCAAATGTGGCTTACACCATAGTGCAGTTATTTGAATCTACTGAACGAAATATTAGCAAATTTAGGTTTAATATTAAAAGCGTGCTGTTTTTCACCGTCAGAGTTTGTTTCAATTCTCCGAGTTTTCATGCACAAAACGGAACAAACACATTCTTCGATAACTAAGATTGTCCAACTGACAGTTGCAAAACAAATATTCGTAAGCCATTTTCAAATTATTTTAGAACGACTGGTTCACACTTCCGCCAAATATAATATACTTTTAACGAAACCAAGCAGAAGCCACTCATTTCAGATATTGCAAATCGGAAAACTATCATGGCAACTATAAACAGTACTCATTTCTTATCAATGCTTCCATAATCCATCAACTGTTTAGTGAAAATTATCGGTAGTAAAAATGTCAGCTACATTAGTAGACTTTAGCTTCATATTTGCGACTGGATAACATCTGACAACCTATAGCAATGCACTTCAACCTACAGAACATTTGTAAAATAGTTATAGCAAGTTTGTGTAAACTGAATCCATCACCCATGACACTATCTAGTTGGTTTGTGAGGACTACAATGACTCATTGGGAGTATTAAGTGGCTATTCAGTCGCAACAGCAAGGGAGCTTTTCTACTTTTTATATTCACTCTGACAAATTATATTATTCGTAAAAGGTAACCACTTAGATGTTCATCGGCTACCCGTAAAGTAGACATTGAAGATCTTTGGATGTCAACAGCTAGCTGTAGTTTCTCTGACAATGACGTCTTAACTGTACACGGAAGGCAAACGAAAACTGTCGTGCCTTACTGGTTACCTTAAGTTTGATTTAACGGGATTAAATGATGTGATATGTTAGGCATCATTAAATTAGCATCATGTACAAGTTTACGGTATTGCTAGCTCTAAGTAACCGTGCGGATATCGCCTTAGAAATTTTCACTAGAACACTGCATAAAATGACAGTGGAGTAATAATGCTAATGCTAAGAGTCAAGTGCAGTTAAATCTGTCAGATGAACACTACGAGAAAAAGAAAGTTATGAGGTCGTATTACATCTTACAATTCACGCTGAATCCGGAAACGAAACCACGATTAATTAGTGATAGCCCCCAATTCTCCTGTGTTGTTACAAGGTCAGCCGACTACAAGTATTTGAAAAATACACTACCCCTGTCTGATAATCACGTTTGACAAGTTTCATCAGACCAGTTTCGTTCTACTGTCACTCGACAGCATGTGTGCTGTCCCACAAGCTGACTCACGAAGTGACTTCCCCAGTTTTCGCGCAATACAAGTCACTAACCGAGCACCTGTGGACGTTTGACAAGCGAAGTGAAGTTTTTCCCACCAAACCACATAGTTTTTTCATGATAGAATTAAGGTCATTTAGTAAAGAAAGTTAACCTCAAAAATCACCACTGTTATAGCTTCAAGAAAAAAATGTCATATCAACATTACTAATTGATTTCCAGGAAAGATTTCACTGTTCTCTGGAAACTCAAATGCTGTCTTGCGTCCAGTATGGCCAAAGCACCGGCTACAATCGTGAAAAACTAGGAAGCATTGTCATTTATTTTGTTGATACCTAATAATACATGTTTTCGCACTAATTGGTTTACTTTCGATCAACATTCCCATTAATGCTAGTGATAAAAAGAAATTACAAAATAGATTAAAGATTTCTCGAAAGAATTGCTGCACATTATGCATAAAGTAGCATATTTAAAGTACTTTATCATACTATATTCAGTTCTGACTTTAGCTTATAAACTCTTGATGTCAGATGATTGATGTAGTCTGACCATCATCTCATTTTTAAGCTACATATCAGTTAAAATTCTGAGATAACGTCTGATACTGATTAACAAATATATGCACACGTATACACAAATCAGAATAATTTTTAACATACCTATAGATGACAGGATATAGAACTGCAATTAGTATTCATTGGAAAACCACTTTAAATTTCAGTGCATAGTAACCAAACACTAGGATTTTCACGAAGTGAGTTCCTTTTAGTTAAGTTTTGATGAACGCTTCTATCTGTTCTGTCGGTGACTAGTTCAGTGATAAGTAAGCTAAATACTCGAGACATGTGTAGTCGATGTACAAGGTGCATCTTTCAATAAACAAAGTTTAATGGAAAAACCATGGAAATAAGAAAATATATTATATCCGAAGAATTATAAAGGAATGAAGGAATTCCTGATCTAACGAAAATTAGCTACGCGTTTCAACCAAACTAGTTTAGTCAATGAAAGAAACCAACATCTAGATGCGTTCAGTACACACGAACTTTTTCAGATAGTTCAAATAAATATGCGCACAAATGACTTACTGATTTTTATTTCTCCATTTGTATTGACAATATCCTAACAGTTCATGTGTTATTTCAAACAGCTCATGTGGACAGTCGCAACTACGAAACACTTAAAAGATTGGATCGCAATTCAACGAAAATTCCCTAGAACAACAGCAAACATCTGTCTACTGCGTGTTCTGTGCATGACATCCTCAGTATCAAACATGAAAAAGTAGAGCACTCATTTCACATACGCAGAATAGGTTAAAAACCGGGGACAGTTGCTGACACAATGTCATATTCAACTATTTGCGAAGTGCGAACACTTCAGTGCGGCCATAACGGTTGGCATATATGAATTATTAAAAAACCTAATCAAGTAACGAACGTAGTCTTGAATATGCATAGACATTTAAGAAAAACAAACATACCAAAAAGTATGAAATATGCACAATAATGCTTTAAATGCCATGATATTTAATAACGTTTTTTCTCCTATGTGACAAAGAAATGAATGACAATTCACTGGAAAGTACAACAAGCAAGATAAGCCTAGTATCAAACAAATTTTGACATCAATGCATGTTTAAAAGCAACTGAAATTCAAGACCAGAAATTAACCGCAATTTATAAACAGATGCATATTCCCAAATTATTACCACATAAAATCGTAAGGATAAAACAGGTACAATTTCATTATCGATTTCGAAAAGACTAGTTAACCTACTCCAAAGACTGCTTCAGACGAGAAGTACCACATTTCTAGGTGATTAACAGTTACACACTAGAACGTATGCAATACATCATCCAGTTTTATGCTCTGAAGCCTTGGGAAAACCATAAAAATCAGCACAATCAATGAATAAATCAGTATACGATAACCAAATTCAATCAAGTGTCCTGACAACTAACACGAAATAAACATTGACGAACGCACTGAACACAAACCATATTTCTCAACTTATTACTTCCCTAACCATTAGGGTGCAAGTGTTATTTTAAGAACGTATACGTGAGTCTTGGTTCTTGACCCGCATTATTTAAGTTAACGACAGACACCACTGTTTTAACGCATGCTGTACGGTTCTGATGAAAAAGTACTTCGAGATTGTCAAGTCTTTCATAGATCAAGAAAACACCTGGTAAAGCGCCACATACAAGATCGTTCGAAAAGTTGCAGTCATACTGTTTGAAGTCTGAGCCTACAGGGAACGCCAGAACGGTTGCATATACCTACCTTTCCAAGATAGACACTAACCCCTTTTATGTTCCCGAAGTGTCCCACTCCACAGATGACCAGTTAACGCAACTCTGAACTTGGCTTCTAGCCACCCTAAATTACATTAACATTTGCAAGTAGAAAAATCTCTCAGAATATCTGGAATTTATACTTCACATCGTCAACAAAGTTGACTGTCACGTTCAACGCACTCCAATTTAGTAATTCATTCATAGACAAATAATACACCATCAACATACCTTCTCTTTTTCACGATGCTTGTCTTCTTTTTCTCTTTTTCGTAAATCCACTAAGTAATCTTGAAACATAGCTTCACGATCACGAGATTTCTCAATCCCTTTAAAGCGATCATCCTTGGAATATTTGGCAGCAAAATCTCCAAATGAGGATCTGAAAGTAAAGATGCACTTCTTATGAAACTCCCTTTTATTAGTTGCATTATACAAAGCCATATCCACTTGAAATAAATTCTTTTCACATTGGAAAAAGGTAAACCACGTGCAGTTAATGACAAAAGCTATGGTCTTCTTACACAAGACACTAAAAATTTTTTGTCAGTCGTCAATGTCAGCTACGTACCGATCAATCGGCATATCGCCACCTTTTAAGTAATCAGAGTTCTTTGTGACAGCTGAGAGGAAATTGACCACATCGGAAAAAAAACACTTTCAAATGGGATCATTTCTGGATTTTTTTTATTGTAGAATCACTTCTAGAATAATTTGCCAGACTCAGGGAGTGCCTATATGAAATTAAGTATGGGCTTGTTTTGCCCAGTTAATGCAAAGAGTCCACCTTCACTATTTTTAGCAGAGGTTTCACTCTCGATGTTTTATGCAAACTTGTAACGGCTGATATCCGACTGAACTCCGTAAGTATCTGTTTATGTATGAAAAAAGGTTAATCGGTAACATCAATTCGGCAGCAGGTTTATAGAGCCACCGGTAACACCTCGTTGTATAATAATTGACAGGTTTGGAGTCGCACCCCACCGATCGGCTGACCAGAAACACCCGTGAACGACTTCATCGTCGAGATGATCATTGCTAGTGCACCACAATACCAGGTCCAACGTATGAAGCAAAAAGTTCGTTTGTCGACCAATGTATTTTACTGGAGGGTGTTTTCATGTGGTAAGTGACAGTTCCGGAAGTGTCTTATAGCTTAAAGTTCAGTGGGTAGCAATTTGTGAAATTGTTTGACTAGCTGTAAATCTCATCTTTTGTCAGGTCTGTTGACCCAGTGACAAAAAGATAACAACTACGCGAGGTAAAAACGACCACTTTTCATTGATGCTCACTGGTAGGCTATAAATAACGACTTATACAGTACGCATATAAGTGTTAATTCCCAAAAACCAATACACTTGCACAGGAATAATCAGAAAGCATGCAACTTTCACAGCCCAAGGACATTTAATTCTACTGCAAAGAAAATAACATCAAAACAATCCCAATCCGTAAATTTAGAGAATGACTTACTTTGAGTTCAGTCCAGCTTCATCCATTAGTTCAACGAACTTCTCCTTCTTCTCTTTGAGTTTGCTCTTCTTCTCCCGTCGTTCCTCCTCGGCACGCTCTTTGACATACGCCTCAAAGGTTTGTTTTCGTTCTTTGCTTGCAAGCAAAAGGTATCGCGGGTCAAACACAATCTTGTGCAATTCCTTTTCCCAAGTGGAAAATGCCGAGACCTTTAGATAAGGGCAAAGAGTATCACCAGATATTAGACCATAGAGACATTCGGGGCACCAAGAGAAAATGCTATTGTTGCTAAACATACCTGCATTTCAACCAGCATCTCTCTGAACCTGCGTACACGAACTTCCAGTGGTTGCACAGCTCTTTCTCTAGCAGCTCTCTCCTCAGCTTCTTTTGCAGCTTCCATTCCTATTGGAATCTTATCCAACGTACCGCTGGACTTATCGGCATCATTTTCCTCCACTGGTTCTGTCGCATGTACATCCGCTTCAGTTACTGGACCATTCGCTTCGTCATTCTCCCTAGAAGAAGAAACAACACTTTTTAACTCGGCGTCGGAACCAGCTTCTACATGACAATTATAACCTCTTCACAAGTCACTAGCTGACATCCCTCCACGCTACCTACGGGCGAAGTGCTACGATCACGGGATAAACTATAGGATAGCTAAGTACTAACTGAATCATTAATGACTAAAACTAGAAGCTCCACTCCTAAAGGTAACGCATTTGATGCCGGTTTCCACAAACCCATCCACTGGCATGCACCATTTTCTCAGAACCCATGGTTTGTTAAAAATATCATCTTATTGTTCAAAAATAACAAATACAAATGAGGCTTACAGACGTGCTCTTTTGGGGCAGAACTCCCATCAACTGCTTCAGATCCGTTGTCATTTGTTGAGGCATTTGCCTGAGGGGAGCTGACTTGACCCGTTAGTGATGCGTTTGGCTGTTTTTCTAGCAAGCGATCAACATCCGCACGACCCTTAAGCTCATCAGGTTTCTCCCACACAGAGAGTCGCTGGCTGGGATTGAAGAAAAAGGCTCGACCATCGCCAGTCCATACAACACACCAAGGCGTCCCATGAACAGCTGTGCTAGATACAGGCCTACTACTATCTTTCGAAGCCTTCCCTGAATCCGCTTTAGACTCCTGTTCACTTGACTCAGTCACTCCATTCTCACTTGCTTCAGATTTCGAACTTTCAGCGACTTTGGAGTTCTCGGTTGACTCCGCTGGCACAGTTTTCTTGTTTTCAACAACCTGGAAAAAAGAATCGTGATTAGTACACGTCTATGCAGAGATGAACTATCAAAATTAACAAACAATTCAGCCTTGTGCCAAGGTTTCTATGGATTATGTCTGCTCCATTTACCTGGAAGCATATATGGTTCTTAATGATAATAGGCACCTTATTTTATGGAATTACCAACATGCAAATAGGTACTGGTTAGACTACGGACGAAACCAACAGTTAATACATTACGCAACAGCACTGGAAAAATCAACATAGTAATGTTACTTACTGGCGCTGTGACAGCTGCTGGTGTTGTCTTTGCTGGTGGAGTGGGATTTGGTTGTTCTGGGGTCATCTGACTGGCACTCGACTCTGATTGTTGCTCTAAAAGCGAACGTTATCGAAATAATCTGTTACTTACTTTCCCAATCTATCAGAACCTTTGGTTTCTCCCATGTTGTCTCTCCTGTTTTTACATTATGGTAGTAGGCCTTCCCATCTTGGTTGTGATATTCTGTCCATACTGCAACCTCTGGAGGTCTGACGGGTGTAACGGTTGTAGTTACGGATGGTGTGCTAACGCCTGTGGATACAGCCGTTGTAGTCATTGGAAAAGCGGTGGCAGGCTTTATTGTGCCCTCTACCTCACCTTGACGAACAACAGTGACGCCTTCAGGTCTGTCCCATCGGGTTTCACGAGTACGCATGTTGTAGTAGTACGACTTCCCCTCAGCTGTAAGGTTCTCGACCCATATATCATCAACAACCCTAGGCTGCATCATAGTTGGCGGGAAAGCGTTGACAGGAATCACTGGTGGCATGAAAGGCATGGGAGGGCGAAATGGAGGCAAAGGGTGTGGCATAGGTGGCATACCAGGGAGCGGTGGGGGGCCCATCATTGGCATAGGAGGCATGGCTGGGCACGGCATTGTGTTATGAGGCATGCCCGGTCCCGGAATTGTTTGCATAACCATGTGTCGGGGTGGAGCTGTTGGCATCCCAGGGAAGCAAGGAGGCGGAAGACCAAAGTGTGGTGCTATGAAAATAAACCGAACAAAGCATTACTCGTTAGAGCTCACGATACCTATGAAACACTAGTTATGGTAAGTCGATATATTTATGTGTCAAAACTAATCAGACAACTTACAATCAGAAGCTGATGGAATCGGGGCCGGATAAGGAAACGGTGGTGGTGCATTTGATACTGGTGGTTGAGCAGCTGGTGGCACCGTGGCCGGAGAAGCAGCAACAGGTTGCTGAGCAGATGATTGTGTAGCTGGAGACTGAGTAGCAGTTTGAGGGCAGACGGGTGCAGGAGCAGCAACTGGCGGTGCCACAGGAACTGGAGCCCCAGGCAGCGTTGGAGGCATATTATTAGGAGTGCCTTGGGGAACACTAGTGGGTGGACAAGTCGGACCCCCAGGGAACTGTGAGGTCCCGTTGAATGAACCAGCAGGTTGAGAATTTGGCCCAGGAGATGGGCCACCATAGGGTGTGGTTGGAGGCACAGGAAAGGGGCCGGATGGTGCACCGAACGGTCTGACAGGTGGAGCGAACTGTGAGCATGATGGTGGCACTGCATTTGGATCGCAGGGAGGCGTGTTCATTTGCGACACAGGTGGACCGTTGTACGGAGGACCATTGTACTGAGAAACAGGCGGCCCGTTGAATGGTGGGCCTCCGAAAGGTGGAACATTTTGAGGTCCAGAATACGGAGCACCAGGAGGCCCTCCAAACGGAGGTTGAGGTCCGCCGTAATGAGGCCCAGGCGGGTTATTAAAAGGTGGGGCATTCGTGTTGTATTGCTGGGGCCCTGTTGCGTTCGATCCAATTGATGGAACTGCCGCTGGCTGTTGCTGATCAGGAGGCATTGACTTGTTATTTGACATAAAAGGAGGCGGTGCGCCTCGCATACGCATGTGCTGCATGTTAGGAAAAGAATTAGGAGGCATTTGCATATCTCCACCATGCCCTGGGTAATTCATATCGTTTGGAGGATGCGACTCATCCATTTGCTCATCCATCTGGTCATCATTCATACCTTGAAAACGTCCAGGATATTGAGGGCTGAATCTTGGCGGGTATCCTCTTGGCATGCCCATTGGAGGTGGACCGTAGCCATCATACGGTGGACCGCCACGATGTGGAGCCATCCCTGGACGCATGAAATTCGATCTAAAACGAAGTCACATATGATAATAACTACATACCGGCCACCACCATGCATCTGCATTCGTGGATGTCCTCGGTAGCCTCCTTGGAACCTTGGGCGGAACTGAGGTCTGAAAATCACAACACAGCAGTTACTACCCACGATACATCAAATACATATCCCAACATTTTCTCAAAGAAAAATCTTACCTCATCATCCTCATTTGGCGAGGCCCACCTTGGTAACGGTCATCATGTTTGTGCAGAGGAGAACCATCCTGGTAACGATCATCAGGATACCGGCCATCATCCTGGTAACGTCCATCGTCCGAAAATGCATTTTCTGGCTGAAACGGAGGGTCTTCATCCGGAAAACCCTCATCTCTATCATGATCATCATCAAAATCCGCATGTTCACCCTCCATCGAAGACATATTTGCTGACGGCATAGGTGACAATTTAAACACATACAAGTATCTGAGTACAAGCGTTCAACATCCAATTTAATGAAAATACTGTGAACAGTCCAGTCTCCTCAGACTGTTCTCTGTCAGCCAAGCCAATGAGGAAATCACTTCCAAAAATAAACTAGTTCACAAACACTAAAGAGGAATAGGATAGTATCCAACATCCAATATCTTTTTACGAGCTAGTGTAAAGCAATTGATTTCTTCGCACTCGCTTCTATGTCTTACGGGGCGGTTCCAGGTCTTTGGTGGATTACAGTGTAGGATGTTTACCCACTTCATTGCTGTAGCTCTGGTCAGCCCGACGGGCGGTTGGGTGTCGGTTATATTTGTAGGGAGTGTGTGTTTTTTTCCAAAGGATTGGAGTGTAGATGGGCTCATCAAATGTCGTGCTAGCAAACAATTGGTCCGACTAGTTGCGAAAAAAATGGTGGAAAATATGTCCAGAGGGATACAGAGAGAGAAAGCGCGAAGAAAAATAAACAATAGGAAAAAACGATTACGAAAAAGGAAACGGAAGGCAAGGAGAAACCTCGGTAGTTTGGTGGGAAAGGGGTGATGAGGAGAGCTTTTATTAAAGTGTGAGAACGTAAAGCGGTAGGAAGAGAAGGAGCAAATAACATTATGGACGGCTTATGAGGATAGAAATCGTAACTGTTAGTGGGAGATAATAGCTGGAGGGGACTTCTACAGGGAAGTATAAGGTTGAGCCACGTTCTCAGTGATAGTAGTGTTACAACTTATTCGATAATGGGCTGGTCGTACTGAGTTAGTAGATCGCGTCAGTCTAGTCCATATCTCAGCTGGATAAGCGCGAGTCGTGCGTCCTTGCGCAACTATCGAACCTCTTATTGAAGCTGTCAACAGGCGGAGCAGTACCAACCTCAGCAGATTGTTCGTTCCAGTGGCCGCAAACTCGTAGAGGGAAGAAGTGTGAAAGCACACCGGTTTTTACCCTTTGGTGGACGATTCTCCTTGGGTTACCACGGGGATCGCCATAGTGGCTGTCCGGTAGGATTCCACTGTTCGGACGACTCAGGCTACTTGGTATTTTGTAAGCCGTTACCAAGTCACCACGTAATCTACGGTAGCTTAGAGAGCAGGGCCCTAGATCTTTCAGCCCGTCCTTGAAGAGTTTTCGCCTCGTTCCCGCGACACTTTTTGTGGCTCTTCTCTGAACATTCTTCAGGAGGTTCACATAGGTTCACATGGCTCGGCACTTATTCCGATTAAATCGTAGTCCATAAATATCCACCCACTCCGCAAGTAATCCGAGATCACTTTGCAGTGCGCTTGATTCTGCTTTGGACGTCAAAGATCTCTATAACTTAACATCAGCGTGAAGTAGAATTAGAGAGCTGAGATTCAGTGGGAGGTCGTTCAAAATAGAAAGAATAACAGCGGGCCCAAAACTGCTCCTTGTGATACACCAAATAATGTCCACCAAGTCGAGCAAACTCTGTTGGCTTTTGTGCAGAATTGTCTGCCGCCTATATAGTCCTGTAGCCAGGAGAGCGCTTGACCCCTGATGCTCAACCATGACAACTTGTGAATGGGAGTGGTGTGCATGACTGTGTCAAAGACCTCAGCAAGATCCAGGAAAATGACGTGAACAGGAATTCGGAGATCTCAACATGCCGTCCACTTATCGCCGGGATCCGGAATGTTTGAAACCATGTTGGGCGTCGCTTAGTGTTCCCCTCCTTTCCAAGTACTCTCTAACATGGTCGTCTCCCAGGCTCGCCATTAATTTTGACGCCACTGGTCGACAGCATTTGGATTCTGCCTGTCTCTGAAGGTGGGGGAGAGAATAGCACGTCTCCACTCTCCTGGAGTCATGTAATTGTCTAAGGAGTTTTGAAGCAGTTTACGAAAAGGGCTGCACAAGGCAGCTGCGCACTGTTTCAACACGGCCAGCCGGATGTCATCGCATCCTGGTGATTTCCTTACGCGCAGCCTTGATAGCTTTTAAATAAGTAAATAAATATCTTTATTCTCAAGTTATGAAGTTAACATGAGAGAAGCCAGTTTACAGGCCTCATCAAATTGATAATTGCAGAGAAATATAAAAGGTCTTAACAGTAGTGAATGGGACAGAGGGAGGACATTAAACTCTGTCATGATACGAGGTTTCTAAATGTGAAAATAGCAAGAAAATATCACTTTACAGTACATACACATTCTCAGTTCAAGTCATTTCTGCTCACAGTCCTTTCTTTACATCAAACGGCACAATATATGGTGTTTGCGTTGTGAGCAGTCGACATGACTGACCCATTTCAATGATTTCAGGAATAAGTAAGTATCCATAGAATCACTTAATCCAGGCAAATGTCTGACTTCAGGCGCTTCTCACTCTTCAAGTATGTTCTTTTCCAGTAATTCAGATTGGTAGTACTGAAAACATTTGTTGTGGTGCAAGTAATTAAAGAGTGGAAGCATCGTCGTTCAACAGTGGTGAATATTACACATGTGTAAAACTCCATAAACTTCACATTAAAGTATGCAACATTGTCAAGGAGATACATTGGCTGTTAATTGACTTCTACTAGATGGATTGATGCAAGACAAAGTACTAGAGAAGTCGGTTGCATAGCATTATTATAGGTGTGTTGCCGTTAGGTAAAGCCATTTCTTCGGTTTGATTATTTATCCAGATTTCTGCTGCATTTGTCACGCACCAGAAATCTGAGACCAATTATTGTGCTTGGGGTTTCGTATGTGGTAGCATTTAGGGTACCGGTGGTGAGGTCAGTCGGTTTTTAGGCTGTTCAAGAAAAAGGAAAATCGGGGCGAGCCAGTTGGATACCTCTAACATCAGTTTCCAGCATTAGGTGAAAAGTAGGATTTCCAGTAAGTTAATACTTTTTGATCAAACTAATGCTTAGGAATTTCCCGTCAGGTTGATACTGAAAAAAGAAGAGAAAAGAAAGCGCAAGGAGAAACTGGACAATGGAATACCATGTAAAACAAACCGGGAGGAGAGAAGTTCTTGCCTTTTAAAGTCATTCAAGCTACATGTAAACTTTAATTTATTCATATGAGAATGAATCTTCCTTTTTGTTTTTCTAATACGAAGTTCACACGAGTTATTAGATAGGCAGTTTTTGTTGGTAAACTTAAAGGGAACACTGGTTATGTATTTGTACTGCACAACCCGACCAGATGGACTAGCAACCAAACACCCTTCAGGAGTCCACTGAGGTAAAAAGTACTTGAGATTTATGATAGCTTTACTCTATACGTTTAGAGGTCCTAGTATGCTTTCATTAGCCCAGAACGTATAGATAGTGCCTAGGCGAGCGATAGACTGATCATCTGTTAGGAGCTTATTAAGTGCAGAACGAAAGGTAGATAATGTGCCTGTGGTACGTATTTCCTCCGGAAGTCTATTCCAGATGTGGGAGAACCTACTGATGAGGAAGTTTCTTCTCAATTTGGTCTTACAACACTCATTTTCCGCTAATAGGTTGTGATTACGTAAATAGTTATTAGATGTCACAACTATTTTAATTTCCGGGCCATTTGAGTGCACTTGCTTACGGAGTAATTTATAATAAAATATAAGATTCATAATAATTTGCCCCTTCCAGAGAGGTTCCAGTCCTAGCATGTTGCATCTCAAGATGTAGTCTAGGCTGCAGTCAGCCCCTAGTGTTCTTAGTGTAAAGTAGCGTTGTGCTCCTTCAATTTTTTCTTTGTCGCTTACACGAAGGTCACTTAAGATAAACTGGCAGTACTCTAAAATTGGACGGATGCTCACTTTGTAGAGTAGGACCCTTGATTCAGTGCTATAAAGGACGGACGATGCATCCAAAGAGTCTACGTGACTTAAATGTGATACAAGCCGTCCGCTCAGAGAATGTTAAGTCACCGGAATATCTAAGACCAAGATCTAGCGCTGAAGAACGTCTAGGTAGCTTTTTCCCACATACTTCGAGGGACACATCTAGGTTATCGCTGCATACGCTAAGCCAAACATAATTTTCAATGTCGAACTGGAGATGGGACTCGTCACACCTTTTAGCAACTTCACCAAATTCTTGACGAGCAGTAGATAGCGTTTTACCTAGTTCATGGGTGTGACATGAGTATACAACCTTAAGGTCATCAGCATATAGGAATGTTTCCCCTACAGTGAAGCACTTGCGCACACTATTAATATAAGTTATGAACAACAAAGGTCCAAGGACACTACCCCGTATTACTCCACTAGTTATGAGCCTGGGTGTAGACTGCATAAAACTTACTTTCACGATTTGGCTCCGATCACTAAGAAATGATTTTGGCCAATGAAGTAAGGGGTCATGGATGCCAATCGATTGTAGCTTATCAAAGAGAATACCCTGTGGCACCTTGTCAAATGCCTTTCATATATCAAAGTATAGAACAATGCCTCGCGGCTACTAGCGATGAGGTTGAAGAAGTCGAAATGGCAAGCAACGCAAGACCTGTTTTTAATGAAACCGTGCTGAGACTTTGTGATGAGGTTTTCGCCAAGTAGGTAGTCAGAGATGCCGCTCTTAATCACTTTTTCCATGATTCAAAAGACGACTGGTGTTATGTTGATAGGTCTGTAGTTCCCAACATTCGCTTTGTCACCGGACTTATAATAATAAACATATATATTTCATACAACATAGGTTGCACGAATATAAACCAGTTTACAGGTTTGATCATTTTGGTAATGTGAAGTGACTATTATGTACAATGCCAAGCTATACATTAGATACCGTTATTCATGGCATATAAGAGGTATGCTGAGGCAGGCTCAGTTCGACATTAGGAATTATTTGGTTATTGTTTGAATCTTCCAATACTCTTGAAGGTGGGCAGCATCACAGCCGTGACCTTGGGGTGTACGCGTTCGTCATAAATTTTGATGGCAATATTTCCACTGACAAATGCGATTTGTAGGATTCCGTTTGAATGCATGACTGGCTAGGTAAACCTGAAAG